GGCATTGGATGGAGGTTACGACACAACTTCCTATATCGCAATGGTATTTCCACGATCTCCAATGGTGGGGTCTCGACTATCCTCCCCTGACTGCCTACCACAGCTGGCTCCTTGGCAAGATTGGCTCTCTCATCGATCCCTCGTGGTTCGCGCTCTTCACCTCTCGAGGAAACCAGGACCCCAACCTCAAGATATTCATGAGGGCGACAGTCATCATCTCAGAGTACCTCATCTACGTCCCAGCCGCGATTGTCTTCGTGCGACGATATAGCAGACTTCAGGGGGTCACCAACTGGACAGCATGGCTTGCGCTCGTCGCGATCCTGATGCAGCCTGCCACCATTCTTGTTGACCATATTCACTTCCAGTACAACACCGTCATGCTCGGATTTGTCATGGCGAGCATGTCGAGTATGCTGGCTGAGCGCTACAAGTGGGCAGCTGTCTTCTTCGTTGGCGCGCTGGGATTCAAGCAGATGGCTCTGTATTATGCCTTCAGCGTCTTCTCCTATCTTCTCGGCCGCTGCGTCTACCCCCGACTTAACTTTACTAGGCTCTTTGGAATCGGCCTTGTGACAGCTGTTTCTTTTGCTATCCTAATCCTGCCTCTGGTTCTTGGTACACTCTACGACAAGAGCCAGGGCATCGATCCTCATGGAGACTCCAAGGATTCTCCTTCGCTTCCCCTATTTCCTCAGCTTGTCGATATTCTAGACACCAAAGCCTTTTACTGGCCTATTGTGGAACAGTTGGTTCAGATGGTTCACCGTGTCTTCCCATTTGCGCGTGGTTTATTTGAGGACAAGGTCGCCAATTTCTGGTGTGCCGCCAATGTTGTTATAAAGCTCCGACAGTGGCCAACAGCTCTTCTTCAAAAAGCAGCTCTTGGTGCTACTCTTGGTTCGATCATCCCACCTAACATCATCCTCTTCCTGCGACCACGAAAGTCCACACTTCCTTTGGCTTTCGCTGCCACAGCTTGGGGTTTCTTCTTGTTCAGCTACCAAGTGCACGAGAAGAGTGTCTTGCTTCCATTGATGCCCATGACCTTACTTCTGGCTGGAAAGCACGGGTTGAACAAGGACACGCGAGCTTGGGTGGGCTTCGCCAACCTCTTGGGAGTCTGGACTATGTTCCCTTTGCTCAAACGGGTCGACTTGAGAGTTCCATATGCGGTTCTGACCCTCCTCTGGTCCTACTTGCTAGGTCTCCCACCGACCTCTTTGAGCGCCTACTTCCAGGAAGGTCAAGCTGCCTGGTTCCAATGGTGCACAGCATTACTGCATCTGCTGTTCTATGTCGCCATGGGCGCGTGGCATGTTCTTGACACATTTGTAACACCTCCTGCTGATAAGCCCGACCTCTGGGTCGTGGCAAATGTTGGAATTGGTGCTGCAGGTTTCATTATCTGCTATCTTTGGTGCTTCTTCAAGCTTATCCAAGAGAGCGACCTACTGCCTGCAGGCTCAACAAGTAAGAAGGATAAAAAGAGCAAGACCTTGTAGATAGGCTTTTTTTTGTCGATAGTAGATTTCAATACGATTTTGATTTGGCGTTATCTCTCCATAGTTGTCCAAGCTGCTTGAACGGGCTTGTTCAACTTGCGTCATACTCTGTACCAGGCTATTCGTTAATGGGTGTAACTCTTTCGATATTCCATCTCGTCTATTCGATTAATCAACGTTTGTGTTTGGACCGCAATTGCTTCAAAGAGCCATGGCAATAGTGGCTGACAAGGTCAATGAGCAATGCTTGGCTGTCGACTGATAGGCTGCTAAGCTTACACGCGACTCGGCTCATTAGACATAGGCGATGGTAGTAATGAATAAAATCTCACTCTGTCATTGACTTGGCAGCTTATAGGGAGACGCAGCCGACACTATTTCTAGTTAGACAGCACAACCATCCCTGGGGCAATAAATTCTTGTCAAATTGACAATTACTCTTCAGACTGTGGACGATACGTCGAGACACGATGTAGAAACGGCAGCATTCGACTTGCCATACTTCAATATGGGGGTTTCTTATTGAGACATGGTAAAGTATCAGACTAGGATGCTCCACGTTTGAACCTCAATTATGGTGATTTAGTAGACAGATCGGTTTTGTTTAGGCAGTCCTACCTCCAGTAGAACAGGAGAATTGATGGTCTTTCAAGTATCGAAGAGAATTGCGAACTGCACTAATTTGCAGAAAAGACCTTGGCGAGATGACTAGACAAGAGCGCTGTATGTTTTGGTCAGAGTATATTGGGCTGATTGCGAACTGTCAAGGACTGCTGATATCTTCTTGCTGACACAGGCTGCAGGAACCGTTCCAACGTGACATTCTGGGCAAAAGAAGGATTCAAGAAGGGGCTTGAATCTCGAGTACGGTAGATGAAGGAGTTGTTCAGATGAATGCGACTCCCGTTCAAGGCGCAGTCATGGACCATCATGTTCTCGACACCGAGACTGGACTGGGCTTGGAAGATGGCACTTTGATGCCTGAGAACACGGCCTCATCCTTCTTCGTATTAGAGATGATTGTGGCCAGGTAAGTTTCCAGACCATGCTGAAGGATGACAATGTGCTCAGATGTTGCTGCTGCATCGCCACAGAGAGCTTGTCATTGCCACAGCAGAGATGGTTTACTATGAGCCTCAGAGAATGACCATCTCCATGGTATCAAAGGTTAGAAGGCCTGGAGCTGACCTTGCCAAGTGTCCAAGCAACCATAGGCCTGAAATATGCTTTAGCTTTTAACGGGGGCCTGATCCGATTTGAGAGCCTGGTCGAGATGTTTGCAGATCTTTGCCGACACTAGGTCTCTTGGGGAAGCTGGGAGTCGTTCATTTGGAATTTCACATTCAAATTTGCCTCATCATCGCTATCAGCCTTGGTAACGGGTGCTCGAAAGCCAAGGGTCGATCGTGTGGGAATGCAATGCACGCAAGCACTCTCAAATCTGCAAGGCCGGGAATAAGATGCTGATTCTGGAAACATGTAAGAAGAGACAAGATTCAAGATTCTTGGTTCTCTTGACCCATGAGGCAAAGAAAAGCTTTTGGGTGAGGTTACATGCCGCATGCTTCGGGGGGAGAAGAAGTATTGGGGGCCAAATGAATTGGGTGAGGAGATTGTCGATCTGGATCGTATGCCAATGCCTGAGGATCTACCCGATGTCTATTGGTGGAGAAGAGTCTTGTCGAGTAAAATCTTATGCAGGATAACTTGTCATTGAGTTGTTCTCGTTTATAGGCGAACTATTAGATATGACGAGATATGTGACTGACGAGTGAGACAGAGCTGAGAGCGAGGGACTTGGAAGGACGCGTGGAAAAGACCCGAGAAACGAGAGACGAGTTTGTAGGGCAAGGATGCATAATCCTTGCCTTGCATTAAGCGATCTTACATATTATTTGGAGAGGCCTTATGGGTATAAACATGGTGATGTGAGGATAGACCCCAAAGTTCCAATTTGATCAACCAAGCCAAGCAAAAAAAACAACCAAAAAAACCGCAACGTGCCACAACTGGGTGAACAAGTGTTTCAGTCATCTTCCCGCGGCCTGTCGAGTACAGTAGAGTACAGTTTGGTACTAGATCGTAAGTCTCTGGTGTATAAGGCTGAGATGATTTTCATGGCAGATTGCGGAGTGGCCAGGAATAGTTGAATTGGTTACTTAATCCACAACGGGCCAACAGCTCCGAACGAAAGAGACCAACAAAACCCTCGGCCGTGTTGCTCAGCCTTTGTTATGGAGTTGCAGTTGGAGCTGCAGCTGCAGCTGCAAGCAAAGAGAAGAGAAGAGTAAGAGGTGAGGTTGAAATCTTGGGCCCCAAAATAACTAGTGTCCGTTGCTGCAGCGCTTGGCATGCCCATGGATGGATACTAAGCCCGGCAAAAATGCAACCTCAAATTGCTGCTTATTAGTTGAGGCTGGTGCTGACTGGTCGGATATAGAACACCCCTACCTATAATCCCTGGATAGTGCTGACTGTGTCGGTACGGTACCTTGTTCGACAGTCTGAGCATTGGGAGTCTAGGGAGTCCAGTACAGCACAGCACAGCACAGCACAGCACAGCAGAGTCGAATTTGGCTAATAAGCTGACAGTGGAGATTAGGAAAATCCTTTGAGGGAGAAAGACTTTTCTACTGTGTTGCAGTGTACAGTACGTAGAGTACGTTGGCTGTAGTGGTTGGTGCGAGACTTTTAAGTCTAGGCTTAAGCATAGGTAGTCGCCAACTCTATCTTGAAACTAACAAAGCCCTCGATTTCGACTACATGTATCCAGCATGATTTTCGGTAACTCGAGCAAAAGAACGAAAAGACAGAAAAAGATCAATGCATCGGGGTACTCATCTCAATCTGAACAGGGCTGAGTTACCTAGTGGGATCGCCGAGAGAGACAGAGACAGAGACAGAAAAGTGAGCGGGCTTTGGCCATCTTGGCTCCTTTGTTCGCCTTCTAACCCATGCATCCCATCCTCCTCCACCTCCACCTCCACCAACAAGACAAGACAAGACAAGACAAGACAAGACAAGACAGGCCCATGTACGTAGATACGGGAACTCGTAGAGCAGATCCACAGATAGAAACAGATGGTGTGCTGAACCGAAGCAGCGAAGCAGAGCTGTGCATTCGCTCAGCCCCCCCTCCCCTAGTCTTTTGACCCGAAGCCAAGAGATGCTCGAGCTGTCTGCCGTCAGCCCTCCTTATCCCGTCTTTGTCTAGCCCTGCCTCCTCCAATATCATCCATCCCATCCCTTGCCCTGTCATGTACTGCCCTATGGGTTCGCTGTGGTACAACGGCAAGGTAAAAGGGACGAGGGTTACCGTTCCCGTCTGTCGTGGACTGTGACATTTCTCTCTTCATTACTCAGCTCCTCCCGCCTCGTTTCTCCTCCTCCTCTCTCTCTCGTTTTGTTTCTGTTTTGTTTCGTCACTTTTCACTCTTGACCTTAGAAACCTGGCTTGCTCTACCTAAGCTGTTCCTCAGTATTAACTAATTCAAGATGGTTTCAAAATCATTGCTAGTCCTCACGGCGGCTCTCGCTACGGCCTGGGCTCAGACAACAACAACAGACGAACCTACAGCAACAGCTGAGGAGTCTTCCACAGGGACTTCATCTGGAGAGACTGTAACACACACTGTCAATGTTGGAGCAGTAAGTTGACATCATGGACACATAGGGACACATCAATGCTAATTAGTATACAGTCCGGTCACAAGTTCACACCAAACGAAGTCAAGGCCGATGTTGGTGATATTATTGAATGGCGTTTCTATCCCACCGACCACTGGGTTATTCGGGGAGACTATGACAACCCATGCATTCCCTACGAATACATTGGGGTGAACCGCCAGGGCTTCTCAAGTGGCACACAAAAGGTTCAGGCCATCACCGACGATGTAAGTTGATCAAGCCTCTCAGTCTCGGCTCAAGTCAAGACAAGACAAGATGTTAACACTCAAACAAAGGGCCCTCGATACCGGGTTCGTGTCAACAACACTGATCCTTTCTTCTTCTACTGCGGAGCTCCAGAGTCCTGTTCCAAGTGGAAGATGATGGGTGTCGTCAACCCTGTAAGATCTACACTCCCGCATACATGGTACTCATAAACTAACATAAATATCCAACAGTCCAAGAATGAGACAATTGAAGGATGGCTCAAGAAAGCAGAGGATGTCGACATGCAACTACGACCCGGAGATCCTTGGCCAAAGGAGGGAGAGTCAACTTCTACCGGCGCAACATCTGAACCGACCGCCGACAACAGTGATGAAGATGACGAGAGCAGCGGAAGCGGCAAGAAGTCTCTCTCTACTGGAGCCATCGCTGGTATTGCCGTAGGTGGTGCTGCTGTCCTTCTCCTCGCTGGTGCTCTTCTCTACCTCTGTGGACGACGAGGTGGCTTCGACAAGGCCTACCGCAAGAGTTTCCGCAACAGTGTTCCCCCTGCTCCTCCAGTTGTCGAGAACCCTTACTCTCCTCATCCAAGTGTCGCCGATCCCTGGGCTGCCCAGAAGAGCCCTGGTCTTGTGGCTGCTCCTTACGGCCAGAGCCCTCCTCTCAGCCCTCACCAGTCGATCCCCTATGGAACACACCCCGGCATGGTCGCTCAAGATGGAACCCCTATTTCACACCAGTAAGTTTCTCTATTCTGACTCTCATCAGCTTGTTCTAACTCTTTACAGCGAGGGCTACCATCAACCACCCATGGCCGCTTCTCCCGCTACAACACCCAAGCCTCACGAGCAAATCGCCCCCGTGGAACTTCCTGGCTCTCCAGACCCCAACCACTCTCCTCTCCCCGCGTACAACAACAACAACAATAACGGAAGGGGATTCTCATGGAACGGGGATGAGCAGGGATACCGTCCCACGAAATAGTTGTCACGTATACGAAAACCACTAAGGCAGGTCGTACATATTACGGTGTGTGCGAATCATTATAAAGCGGCGTTCAACGGGAGTGTCAAGTTACACAGGAGTTCTGTAGGGAAAGCATTTTGGGATGATGCGGTTTCTGTGCTTTTTTGAAAACTCACTTATACTTTACGATATCGGAGATTTTTAATCTTGTGGATGGCTTAGGGAAACCTCAAACTTCATACCCTTGACTTGGATTCAGTCATTCGCAATTATAGCTTGTTAGTACTATGAAAACAATAAGTTATTTTACTACATGAGTTCATTGAAGTGTACCAAATATAAGATCTAAAGGCATCAGCCATAGACGTAAAAACTCATCAAAACCTGCTGAGCAACAAAGACTTTGATGATGTAGAATTGAATCGCACACTGCGAGATCGACTTGAGACAACAAGGAATTCGCAATTGGTGCTGGAAATTGCTGAGGTTAATGCCTAGTCTCAGATCCTCAACGGCCAAGCTCAAATTGATCATTAGATGAAGAGAGCACAGGGGAGACTTGAGCCGCTGAGGTCATATGAGAACAAAGGAAAGACTTGAAAACTTGTTCCAAGTCATAATTGACTGACGACACACCTCATGTTTGCACACTACGGATATCGCCTAAGACCACATGGTCGAGCAATGATCAGTGCAGTTTGACCAAGCATACCAATGTTACGCAGAAACAACTGACTGCTTGGATAAGGCCCGTAAGTTTGAGGGCAGTTCAGGCGATAAAGTACTGCCCTGACAAAACTTCACAATGAACTTAGGCCCCTGAGCCAAGGCCTCATGGTTTTACTTCGAAGGGACTGGTCAAAGAGATGCGAGTCATTTCTATATCATCAGTCATAGGATACGCCATGTAATGCTACACGCCGTCAGGCCGAATAGTCATACTTGACAAAGTGTGGCATGCCAGAAACCCTAATTGGAACCAGTTGGTGCGGCTTCGCCGAAGCATGACAATGCACCAAGACATACTTTCACGGGAGAGTATTCACAGTGGAACCTAAACATTCGAAGAGCCGAACCGCCTTTTTATTTTCATAGACCGTATTTATCCCATTCTTACAGAGACCCAATCCAGTCATGAGTGGCCAATCCATCCACGCCAGTGACAGGTAAGAACTGGTGAACAACCCGTGCGTAGCAACTTCGAAATTCGTGAGGGGGCGTAACCGTGCAGATCTTTAGATAGAGATCGCTTAGTCGAAGAGACCGAAGCCCATATCCTCGTCGGACTCCTCCTTCTCCTCTTCCTTCTCCTCCTCCTTGGCCTCCTCAGCGGCACCGCCAGCGGCAGCAGCACCACCAGCGGCGGCACCACCAGCACCGCCGGAGGGAACGGAAGCGAGCTTCTCAGAGCCCTCAGCAATGAGCTGCATGATTGTTAGTACGATACAGTCGCATCGTGATTATCATTGAATCTTACCTCCTGGATGTCCTTGCCCTCGAGCTCGGAGATCAGGGTGTTGAGGCGCTCGTCGTCGGCCTCAATGCCAACGGACTCGAGAACAGCCTTGACATCGGCGGCAGAGGGGGAGGTGTTGCCTCCGAGGCCGAGAAGAAGGTAAGCTGCGAGGTGCTTCATTTTGATAGTGTTTTCTGAGTTCAAAAGACGTTAGAAAAAAGATCTTGCGGAAAAGTGGTCGCAGTTGTCGAGCCCAAGCAGGGGGGGTAAGGGACAGTTAAATACTTACATCTGAAGTCGGAAGAGAACACGAGAAATCAATCACTTTAACCGCAAGTTGGGCGGAGACTGAAACCTTCGAGTTCGGTGGTGAGGTTGTTCGGTGTGACAAAAAGTAGAAAAGTTCGCGATCTCGTGAAAGCTAAAGGCGATTTTTGATCCTGTGGGAACCAATACTTTTGCCGAGACTGTGAGGTCACGTGAGGCGGGGTTTTTGGGCAGGACTCACGCCGAAAGCGCCTGAACCTTGAGACTGTCAATGAGGGTCATGGCGGGACAGGTCGGAAGAAGACAAACGCCGGATCCGTTAGACGCACCGCCACAGATCCCATGTCCCCCACGTGACTGCGTTCAACCTGTGGCGCTTTCCTGATTCCATGGCCTCGCCCATAAAGTTGGCTGTTGACTGATTCTTTGCTCTTCACTAACTGTGTGTTTTCCTCTTCTTTTGTTTCGTGATCGCCTGTATTTCAGGCGTATTTGATGAGAATTTTGAGCGAATACGACCACGAATAGCCCTTCTATCGACTCTGCGCCTCTTATCACCAGAAAGTCTTAAACTCAAGAGTTTAACGACGTCAAAAAAGTGCCTGACGACAGACCGAGTGAACAAGCTTTTGCCAGCCGCTCAATGACTCACAATCCACGCCTGAGGCTACTTGCTCCTCTCTGTCTTTGAGGACTCTAGTCAACTGAGATTTTTTTTTTAAGTTTTTCTTACTATATTAACGACGCGATGCCGGTGAGTAACTGCCCAGAGGCAAACTTCGTGAGGATCAGGAAAAAGTTGACCATGGCTTTCAAGATTGGAGACCTCCTGGCCCAGATCAGCGGTGGTGATGAGGGATCTTCCGTACCCCCCAAACAGGGCCTGGTCCGGTCGAACACATTACCCAAAAGGAAGGCCGACGATGATCCTCGATCGAGTATTTCAAAGGCACCTCGAGTGACCACATTATCCAGTACCGTGGCACCACGAACAACACAATCCCCTACTGCTGTCTCAAGACCCAATCTCCCATCACGACCCGCCGATAGATCGATACCCTCACAACGACCCTCGAACCCCTCGAATGGTAGTAGTAAACCCTCCGTCTTGTCATCCAAACCCATGAATGGGGGTAACAGGGTCTCCAAGCCTGTTGCCCCCAGCAGACCATCACCCGGTCCTGCTAGCGCATCTTCAGCACCACCGAAAAAGGGGTCTTTCGCTGAGATTCTTGCTCGGGCTCAGAAGGCCCAGCAATCGATGGGGCAAGTTGGTAAGATCCAACACAAGAAGGTTGAAGGTGGTGCGTTGAAGAAGGTCAAGGAGGAGCCACCTGCAAAGGTCGATCCTCGAGCAGCCAAAGATATGAAGCAGCGCCCAGCACCTGCTCACTCAGGCTACTCCGGTACAGCGAAACCAGGTCAAAGGCCAGCTCAACGGAATGGCGCACCTGTGTCTGGAACCGGAAGGGATCCGCGTAACGGAAAACCACTGCCTCCGTCAAAGGCAGAACGTGGCAAGATGGCCGGCAGCAAGTCATCAGGCAGAGCCGCGCCCCCTGAGGAAGAGACCAAGAAGGTGAAAAAGGCCGCCATGGCTACGACTGGTTATACTGGCACAGCCAGACCCAGACCAGGAGGTGACGCCGGCAAGAAGAAGAAGGAAACCCCTCGTGGTGGTGCATTACTCAGTGCCCCACGAGCTCCTCGTCCATCGCGTTCAAAGTCACGATTTGAAGACGATTACGACGAGGATCTGGATGATTTTATTGACTATGACGATGAAGAAGACGATGTTGGTCCACGATATGATTATGCTTCCGATGGTTCTTCAGATATGGAGGCGGGCATGGATGATATCGACGACGAAGAGCGGCAAGCAGAGCGACTTGCCAAGATCGAAGATCTCAAAGAAGAGCGGCTCGAGAAGCAACTCAAGGCCGAGAAAGAGGCTCGTAAGCGACAGGCGTTGGAAGCCATGCGTGGTCGGCGTTGACGATGGAAACATATCGACGTCTACTCGTGCCATCTATTCGGTCACTCACCTCAGCTGGGTCTATCGTGCTTGGAGCTTCCTCCCATAGCATCTGACATTGCCGACCCTCACTCACCTTTGGATGCCTGCACCATCCTTCTTTACTCGAGATTTCTTGATACGCAAGCAACGGTCGGGGAGTTTGTCAGCAAGGGGCGTTTCGCGAGCTTGACTTTTTTTTTACCACATCTTCACAACTACACCCTTTTGCACTTTGCTTCCGATTGTTTTAGGTTCAGGGGCTACATTAGCGACGGAGTTGTCATCTTTCCTCCCCCATTTTATTTCCCTTTGTTATGTCTTCATTCAGGGGTGGTTTGCATGGTTTTGGCAAAGGACACTGGTGATGCGGATGGATCAAAGACAAGAAAGGGACGAAATCGTTGGAACCTTTCTTTTTTGTCAAGGGATGGCGAAGTCGATGTACCGTAGACAGATGGATATATATAGACAACGCTTCACAATGATATCTTTGTCTAGAAGCAATTGTTAGACCTCACGATTCCTACGACATCCTATCCTATTCGCAAGGCTTTCTATCTCAACGTGATCTGTTAAGACTCCGGTGTCGTTTGAACCTCAGTTACTCATTCTAGCACCACACCATTAGCACGAACTTGAAAAGTACAGCGCACTCGCGCGACCATCGCCGTCTTCTAGGCTGTTACTTTAACGCAAACCAGTTGACACTAAACGTGTGTAACCATGAGAACCACAACTTTGCGGCGTCTATGGATAGATTCATTGTTCATGTTGGGAAAGACTGGCTGGGCAATGCGTATGACAGAAGCATGAAATATATATTTTCCGATCCCAAGATGTCTAAAGTGTAGACGCCATTAATGCCCCTGACTGATTAAATAACGCCTCATTCCCAAGTCCGATCCAATAGCAATGCACCTCGTGAACGTCCCAACAAATGTGGTAAACCATCTTCAGTGAAGCTCGCCACTGATATAGCCATGCTCTTGAACACTGTTTAAACAACCTGACATCGTTCGGGTGCGTGAAAAAGGTGCAGACAACCCACAGTAAGCTTGACGTTAATAATCGGCTGTTATACTTATACACAGTATATAGGGAAATGGAATTCCAGGCCAGGACAACTATCCTTGTAAGGGTACTAAGCCACAATCTGGCGGGCCAGATATCGATCAAGACAATATCGGGCCAGCACCGTGACAGAAGCTGATCAAGGAAGATCGTCACTCTTGGACGATTTCCCACCAGTGCTTCCATAAGGCCTGAGGTTCCATCCTTGATATGGTTTGACTCCCTGAGTGCTGTTACCGTTGGCACTAGGGATGATGGACGGAGGTGGGTTATGACGAGGCAAGTTAGGCTCTCGCTTGATAGGTGGAGGGGGAAGTGACGCCGATGCAGCAGGAAGTAGGCTTGAAGGAGGCGGATGGGCCGGTAGGTCAGCCGCGACTGGCTTTATCTCCTTTTTGACCTCAGGCTCCTCAGGCTGCATGAGTCCCTTTTTGCGAAGATACTGGATTGACTGAAGGACAGTAAGATCTTCTTGCTCCTTGTCGTTGAGAATCAAACGTTGCTGAATAGTGAGCCGTCCATTGTTGGCCTCACGATCCTTCATGGCTGCTTCGCGGACTTCAGGATCATGGACGAAGCGGCACTTGCCCTTCTTGCCGCATGTTCCACCAGTGGAATAATATTTGCAGTGCTTAGATACGTCGGCTTTCTTGGCCGGCGGAGGAGGCGGGGGAGCAACATGGGCACGAGTAGACATAACTTCTGGCTCGTCATCTGATGACTCCTCGGATGGATCTCGCATCTCGTCACCTTCGTCACCCTGTTCTCGCTTTCGCTTGATCGACGACTCAACTTTGCGCAACTGTCGTCTGAGTTTGTCGGCTTGTTTCTCTAGCGAGGAGGCCTTGTCTTCGCCATTCTGTGCCAACTCGGCAGTCTTCTTGGCTTCTACGCGTGCCTTGGTGGGGAAATGCTTCTTTCTCTCCGCTAGGAAAGAGGCAACATCTTTCACACTGTAATTGTTAGCAATATTATAGCGGAAAGGCTACCAGTTCTTACTTGAGTGTTTCTTGTCCGATCAAGTCCGTCAAAACCTTCTCCTCACCTTCGTCATCTTCAGACTCCGAATCCATACCAGGGGTAAGACCAAGTGTGTTGGTCTTGCGCTTCTTCTTCTTTCCCAAAGTTGGGGTTTCGGACTTATGGTGAGCAGAGTCGTTGTTTCCATGTTTCTGGTGACGTAACTTGTCATTTCCATGGTGACCTCCGCGACCTCGAGCGTTACCGTCACGAAAGCCTCCTCTACCACGACGGTTGTTGTGGCCGTAGTAGCCGTCCTGATGATGACCAGGGGGCAGAGGGGGGCCAGGGTATGCTGGATACTGAGGAGGAGGATAGTGAACTGCTCGTGGGTCATGAGGATAAGGCTGACCATAGCCATTAACTGGTGGCATGGCTTCATGCTCATATCCAGGTCGCACAGGACCATTTAACGGGGGCTTAGAGCCATTGCGGTCATTGTAACCGCCGCGACCTCTCCCGTTGCTGCTATAAGGGCCTCCTGCGGGCTGTCCAGCACCACTCCACTGGGCCTGGCTTGGGGGAGGTGGCCCTTGGTAAGGATAGGCCTGCGGAGCGCCGTAAGGTGGCTGTTGGGGGTATTGAGAGGGAGGGTATGGCTGGGCAGGATAGTTGGGATGGTAATTGCCTGGAGGCATAGAACCTTGCGGATGCCCGTGAGGAGGATGCCCATGCTCTGGTCCCCATTGAGGCTGCGGAGGGTAGCTGCCTGCAGGGGGATGCGCGGCACCGTAGGGGGATGGGTTGTGATGGGGAGGATATGGCTGGCCATTGTATTCATAGTGACCTTGAGGGGAGCCATGGTAGTCTCCACGACCGCCATTGTAATGGCCACCGCGTCCTCGTCCGTGATGCCCTCCTCGACCCTGGCCATGTTGAGGGTACGATGGAGCTTGTGGCCCGTAACTTGAAGTTCCACCAGAAGAAGGCGGCGGTGGCGGAGGTGGAGGACCGTAACCGTAACCTGACATGGTCAAGATAAGTGTTGATGACAACAGACGTCGGAGCGTCGATGCTCAGGTGGCAGGATTTGAAGATCGCGAAGGGCAAAGTCGGGGTTTCTGCTGGGGATCGAAGCTTCAGGGTGTGTGTTTGTAATTGAACCGATTGTTTGTTCGCAAAGTTACTCGATGGAGTGTCGGTATTCAGTGAGGCGAAAGTCGGGAGTGGTAAAAAATCTAGGGAGTTGCTGTGACCGAGTAAAAGTTCATGGGGGATAAGATAGGTAGGTAGCGTTGAAAATAATTCAAGTAAAAGAGAGTAGGAATCAGAGTTAAAATATGCTGTTGGAACTCTCAGGCTGGTAATTGGGGCAATGGCACCAAGACTGCAGTTGCCCGTTTGTGATGCCCTTTCCAAAAAAAAAAAGAACGGCACGACAATGATTGAAAGACGGAAGGAGCTTCCTCTGGAGTGCCAGACTGTGACGAACTTCCCTGTACACCGAAGTCGCGGTTGGTGTACCAGTTTTCTTTAGGAAGGCGGTGAGATGCTTGGAGCTGCAATCCAACCCAAGGCGGCTTAGCGGCACTGGCATTCTTTTCTGCCGCTCCCAAGGTTCTTTGGACGCTGAGAAACGCCCTGAGGCTGGTACGCAAGAACTTCATAGAGCTCAATTTCTTTTCATACCTAGGCCTTGAGCGATCTTTTATTTCTCCTTTGTCCCTGACTTACCAAAAGACTCACATTGGCCCATTTTCTCCGCGCTCAGTGTTCCAATGTTCATCCTGGTTTGTTTCGCCCTGCTGTGGATGCATGAATGAAGAACTCATAAGTTGTTTAGACCAAGATCGCCGACTTGGTGCAAATTGCCCCAGAGGATTTCTCTAAGCGCAGCATAGACGCAATCGAAGACAACATCAATGCCAAATACTCTAATAAAGTGAGATTTATCTTACGCATTGCATAGTGAATCCATGACTAACAGAGCGTCGCAGGTTATTCAAAAGATTGGACTCTGTATCTGCTTGTACGATTTGCAGTGGGCTTCAGAGGGTCTCATTGGTCATGGCACAGGCTTGGTAAACGTGAACAGTGAGTTGAAATAAATGCACCTTGAACTTGAGGTGGATTAACGAATCATCGCGCAGCTGAGTTTCGTATGGTTGTATTCCGTCCTTTCAAGGGTGAAGTCATGATTGGCAGAATACGAAGTTCTACACCCGCAGGTATCAATCTGAGAACAGATTTCTTCGACGATATCTTTGTGCCGTTTGAGGAGTTACCAGAGGGTGCTGAGTAGTGAGAAGCCCGTGATGGTTTGCGTTTTCAGATGCTAACACCGTGCAGCAACCACAGTGAACAACTCTGGATCTGGAATCTCGACGAGGATCGACTCTTCTATGATAACCATGAGATGGTTCGCTTTCAAGTAATCGATGAGGAGTGGCATGATCAAGCTCCTGCTGGACCAACACAAACCGAAGATTCACCCTTGAAAACTCCGTACCGCATCAAGGCCAGTATGGCTGCTGAAGGATTAGGCGTATGCCTGTGGTGGGATGGAGCATAGTGTTGGATAATGGACAGAGGAATTATGGAAGAACATGGGCCCAGGAAAATAATGTCACCGCGTTTTATTTGGCGTATGTACATTTGCTCGTTCTATGAATCTACGATTTGATACCCGCCAACAGACGTTCCTCAACGTTGTCCAGAACAGAGTAGTGCTCCACAACGTTCAAGTTCTCAATCTCAGCCACGAACTGCTTGTGGGGGTCCTGGCCAGGACCACCCATCATGGGGTTGGGCATCTGCTGCGCTTGCATTTGCTGAGCAACCTGGCTGGCGGCTACATTGTGTTAGTGGAAGATCAAGGAATTGCAGGCCAGGACGCTCACCATTGTCACTGCCAAGAAGGAACACATAGACAAACTGGAGACCGAAGATGCAAAGGAAGTACCAGCTGATACTGGACATCCATCGAGGATCCATTTCCCTGGTCTGAACACCAGCCTGTAGCATGCTCTTGAATTTGATAGTAATGGGGAAGGGTAGTTTCACTATAATAGTTAGTATTTTCCAGATTCAATAATGAATGAACATACTGATAACATATCCGCTGAAGAAGGCGTTGATCCAGCTCATGATGAGCGTATTCGGAATAATCATGGCCATATTGTTCTTCATCATACCCATCATGCCGTCCATAGCGCTGGGATCGGACAGAGGGTTGGCAGGAGGTTGGCCCTTGCGATCGGGCTCCTTAAGGTATGTTCCAGCTTCGTAATTGGTTGTCAGAACATCACGTCGAGATTCGAAGGCCTTCTGCGAAAGGACATGGTGGTTGGTCCGAAGAGCTACACCCCGAGCAAGGAAGCGTTGCTCACGCATCGCCTTTTCATCCTGCTTCTTAGGTGCGGTCGCCATAAGGACAGATGCGTAGTGACGGAGCACACCAGTCAAGACCATGACAATGGTGATGGGGATAAGGATCCAGTAGCTACAAGCTCAAGTTAGTGGCTTTTGTCCATTGGCGGTCCATTCGGGAGGCGACGAACAATAACTGAGGATCCCTATGAAGGGTCTGAACCGGAGCTTGCGCCATTATGTCGATATTCGAGGACGTGGAATAGCAGCGTTGGGGGGGGGGGCGAAGCTGATGTTCGCGTTGCAATGGAGCTGTTGGAGATGTGAAGTTCAAGGTCGTCAAATAGCCACGATTCAAGGCAATCGACGCCACATGTAAGCGGAGCTGCACGATTGGTGGCGGTACACTAACGACCCTGGAGCAGCCACACTTTACAGAGGACTTTAGCTGTTCGGGGTTAGACTTTCGATGAAGGGACAGCTATCCACACGCTTCACTTCGGCCCCACGACAGACTTCCCATGACAGCGAATCTCGATACTTGTACACAGAGAAATCGACCACTTTCTTTAGGAACATACCACAGCATTCAATTTCTCCGGCACAAACCATTGCGGGCTTGTAATATATCATGGCAAACGCCGCTGAGAAGATCTCGGTCTACAATCTTGCTGGTAAGCTTTCCAGCTCCTTACAAGCTCTTATACGAGACAATCTTCTGACACGGTGGCTCTTCGCGACACAGACCTCAAGAACACATCCGACGATGCTATCCCCAACTACCTAAACTCTCTAAAGTTCCGCCAGTCTCATACCCTCACCGATGTTCGCCTTGCGCTCGGATACACTGCTTTCGGTGTTGCAGCTGCTTGTTTCCTCTGGGACTACAAACTTGGCTTTGAGAGCACGAAATACTACACAGCTGCTGCCGTTACACTCTACACTTTGATCAATGGCGCCTTGACACTATGGATTATGTTCCGTGAAAAGGGTGTTGTGTACGAGGGAACTTCACCCTCAGGAGAAAAGGTCAGACGAAGTTTACTCGCATCTTCTTTCCATTCAACTAACACCTTTGTTAGATCTCCATCAGCAGCTCTACAAAGAAGAATGTCCCTATCTACAACCTCACTATTACCGTCACTGATAAGAACTCGAAATCCACCGTTCACAAAATCTCTAAGCCTTTCAGCGGCTGGTTCGACCAGACCGGCCAATTTGTTGCTGTTCCCTTCCAGGAGCTCCTCGCCAACTCAGTACCTTTGATCGGCAAGCGGGACCCCAAGCGTGTCACCGTCTCTAAGGAGTTGTTGGATGCCAGCCCCGACGTTCTCGATGCTATTCTGGCTGCCAACGCCACTGGTGCCGAGGCCGCATCCACACCAGAAGTAACTGAGAAGAGAGGTGGTAAGCGACGCAAGGCGTAAAAAGGGGGTATGAGAGAATGAGAAGCGGTTATATAGAGCATGGCGTTTGTAGGGAATCATATTGATACCATGCACTGGCAGGACATTGTCAGAACTCCGGCAGAAGGCCCGGCTATGGTTCTTGTGCTGAATTATTGTCCAATTCTGAATGATCTCTTTGTTATATGAACCTTTTCCGGCTACCTATCTAGCGCCAATCACGAAAAAGGAGATCAAGTCCCAATATTCTAGCTATCACATTGCCTCTATGTAATAAACAGCTCGTCATCTTACTTAAGATCTGCCCAAGCTGCCCGGGCCAATCGTGCTGTCTTTCTCACCTCTCGTACGCGGTGTCCACAAACCAATGTCAACTGTCGTTGCACTTGAGGCGCATGTGGTATCAAGTGCTGGGAGTCGTATGTCTGTGGTAGGCTCCCCACGATCTCCAGTGCAAGCTTGCCACAAGCACCCTCCGTCTCTACATCAGCAGATGCGGATGATGGCTTATGCGAGAAGACGCTGCTGCAGATCTTGATGATGCTTCGAATATGCCCCTTGCCCTTCTCAGGAGCCTCTGCGAGTGTATTCTTAATCACGTCCAGGGCCGCCTTGGTTTCAGGGCCGATGCCGCTGTTTTGCGCAACGGCGATCGAGATTCGAAGGATGCTGTCTGCATCTGCTTCATAAATTGGGAAATTCATGTGCTTAACCATGAGCAACACGGCGGTGCTGTAGTTTGCCTTGACGTGTTGGTCCTGGACCTCTGCTTCCTTTCCAGTAGCGGCTTGTAACATTGGGCTGACAAGTTGGAAATAGACCTTCTGGGTCCAGAGAGGTTTGATTATGGCGTAACACTCTTTGGTAAGCGGTTGCTGGGGGGCCACGATCATTTCGAGTCGCCGAGCAAGTTCAGTGCCAAGCTTGGGGTCCTTAGGCGACTCCTTGACCACATCTAATAGTGTCTTAGCCTCCTTGCCGCTATATCGTCTGACCATTCCCGCAACAAGGGCATAAATAGAAGTGATTTGCTCCAAGCGAGAGGCGTCATTTTCTGACGTAGATGCGGGCAACAGACTCGAGGATCGTTGCTCCAGAGCTGTTATAAGACTTGGGACAGTCTCAATTTTGAACTTGTTTGCTAGAATAGTCAAAATGGAAAGAGTTACTGGTCTGCTAAAGTTTGTGTCCGCTGCGAACCCGCTGAGAATCAATTCTTGGGCAACCCCAATGTCAAACTACAACCGAGTTAGTAATAAAGAATACGGGTTGTGATCACAGTGACCTTACCAGGCGAGATACTGCTGATGGCTGCAAAGCTTGCAGTATACCAAAAGCTAGAACATTTGGTGCTTCGGACGCTAACCAACTCCAAGACGAGCCATTCTCCAAGCTTGACTGGGCTTCCGGCGCCGTCTTGGGAACCGTAATCGACTCATCACGGAAGAGGCTAATGGCAAAACTCTCGGCCTTGAGTGATGTTTGTTGAGTTTCACTGAACTCGTGGATGACAAAGCCTGCAAGAGTGGATATAAGATGAAGGTACTGGTGCCCAGAGACTTCATCGACATTGGCGAAGTCATCACTCAAACTCAGAGCTTGTTTGCCTGTCTGAGGATGTGTATCAATTACCTTGGTTGCTCGGCGATAGAGTTGCCTAGCAATGAGCAGGGTAATGAGTAAGAACTCGCTTCTTATCTCGGCCACAGAGGCTGACTGAGAGACTCGGCTATGGTATCCGGGAGAAGACTCAGCTACTGTCTCCCCGCCAAGCAGACTCAGCGCAGGGTACGTAGAGCCGATCTTCTGTAAGGGCTCGTCTTCGATAGAGAATTCTTTGTCGGGATTCTTTGCCAAGCAGGCGTCGTTGAAATATCGAATCGTGGATTGGATTGTAGCGACCAGGGCACACCAAATTTCAGGATCTGACTTGGACTCGAGCGAATCAAAGAGTTCTGACAGGAATGCGCGGATAGAGTAAATGAAGTGATCGAAACCGTCGCGTGGTGTGAAAGGTAATTCTGAGGAGCCCAGGTATGCAACCAAACCTCCAAGAGTCTTGATCGTCTCAACCGTATCGGTAACATTGCCATTTTGTCGGCTGGAGCGTATGATGCTCAAACTCTCATCCACGAGACCATTAAAGCCACGAGGAAAGTACCGAATAGCCCGTTGGAGAGCCTGGGCAGCATCGTTAATGAGTTCATCGCCCCCAGATGTTCGAGTATACCCGGGACCCGACTTCTTGAGAATGGCAAAGAGGGATGAGCAGATTTCTGAGCAAGTTGACTCGGGAAGTAGTCGCTGGGAAATGTCGCGTGCACCATTTTCTGAGAGATCCAATGACTTTGAAGGCCGCTGACAAACCAAAACTCCAGCTCCTGGGACGGCTTGCGTAGCAACCTTGATATCATCATAAGAGGCATCCGGTTTAGAGCCGAGGTTCACAGGGTTCTTGAAGACATCTTCATACAGAGACTTGAAGAAACTGTCGATGGCAGCAAAATCCTCCCGGTCCTCAGCGGCCATATTTGTGTCAACTAATAGGAAACGAGTTTCTAGGATGACATGCAAGACTTTCAGAAGGTCCTGGGTGTGAACAGGTGCCTTTGGATGGCGCAAGTTCTCTTTAATATGTGTAATGACGGGGGCAGCCATTAAGACAAAAGCACTAGGCTTGGAGCTCAAGACACTGACCATGAGTCGGCCGGCGGATGAGGCATACATGGTTGTCGCAAGATCTGGTACACAGTCTCGGGTAACCGATAATGTGTAGTCGCGGAGGCTATCCCCAGTGAGTCGTCGAGTGAGAGACTTGAGAACTTCCAATGTGCCCCAGATGGTATCTTCAATTTCTCCGTTTCGAACCTCATACTTCAAGCTGCCCCATACTTGATTGGCATAGGGGGCAATTGCTTTCTGAGGATGGCTGTACTCATCAAGACAGGCTTGCATAGTTTTGAGGATATCAAGCTATTTCCGGTCAGCTTAACTTCTCCCTTAAAAGAATGGGTTCTACCAACCTTGACATTGACCGTCACAGCATCGCCCTGATCCAGTTTGCCCAAAAGGAATGGAAAGACCTTATCAGCTAATAAGTGGTTTGCTGAAAAGCACTTTCGCAGTGCTATCTTCAGCTCTTCAGGGGTGATTGCAACCTGAGATGCTCGAGGGAGTGAAATGGGAAAGTATGGCTTGAAAACACCATATACCTCTTCCAATACGTCTTGAGAGACTGTGTACTCAGACATGAACAATCTCAAGATATCAAACCACACCATCAAACACTCGGGGTCTCGTTCACTTCTGCACAGTTGAATCAGGTCGAGCATAAAGCCAGCAGACGAGCCGTGTGTGTTCTGCAAGTCACTGGCGACACCAGGAGTTGTCATGAGTAGTCGTATGAGCTCGTAGATTTCGAGTCTGGTCTTGGATACTTGGCGTGGGAAGTCATCCTTGAGAGAGCACACCTTCTGGATAATGTCGTGTCCCATGTGCCGTTGGAAGGACTTCATGGCGACTATCCTAGATAGAGCACTTGCGGAGGGCATAATTCCAGCTTTATGATCGACCTCGAACATGGCTCCGAAGAAGCTGACCAAAAGTTTCACTGATCAATTGTTAGACGAAATCGTATTCATGTTTTGTGCAAGAGCTTACCTTGGCTGGGTTTCAGAATATCACTGCTTAAGAAATCCAACGTCCGTGATAAAAACTCAAGCGCTGTTAAAGTTAGGCACGACCGATGCCACGGCGCATGAATCAAGACTCACCCTTTGCCCTCGCCGTCCAATCTGGTGTCTCATTCTCAGCCTCATTCCCACCACCTGGCATCCAAGGCTGCACAGCTTCGACCCATCGAGCTACAGGGTTTGTATTGGCCGCCGCAGTTTGAATCTCTAGACAAAGTCAGAACAGCATCATTTAGCAGGGATGGACTAAAGTACCGTTGGCAGCCTTGTTGGCTATCGCTGTCTGTTGCCCCTCATTGTCTGCCAGAACAAATTCAAGAGCCCATTGCCTGAAGTCCGCCATGATAAGACAGCGTGAGACCGCGCAAGCCTTTTGATTGTCTTTTTTCGATATACAAAAGCCAAATGTTCGCCCTATCCCAAACAACTTATAAAGAGAAACCTGCAACTTTGCCCCTCGAGTTTGCGATAGTGAAGTGGCAGAAAGTTGATGCCCACCAAAAGCGGTGAAGTTGTATGGCGGGGTAGTTGAGCACTGTAGTTGCCTTTCTGTAGAGTGATGTCAAAGGTAAGAAAACAATATGAGAGACGTTGTGAAACAAGTTCCAGATTCTTCAGTGCATACATATATCCTGGGTTTCGAGGTTTTTGATATAAGTCTTATCAGATTGGTCCAATTGCTGAAGCCCTCTTTGTCATCATGGATGCCAAACTCCGAAGCCGGCTGTCCCGTCATTCCGCAGACACGGCCCCACTACAGTATTTCTTGGGTTGAGTGACGACAGCGAATTTTGGTGGCCAACCCCTGTATTTCTTTCTCCATCATCGACCTTCAAAACACATCAACACAGCTGAGCTCGACACGTCCACAGGTGGCCTGTCGACTCAATTGACCTCCAACATGGCCTCACTACGAATTCCTGCCCTTCGCCGGCTTGTAGCCGCCCCCATACGTACCACCCGAGCTATCAACCAGCGACGATGGGCTCAAGTTCACGATATTCGCTTCCTCGCAACAACCCAACCGTCGCAAGCCGTCGTCGAGAAGTACAAAGAGAAGCTGAACCAGAAGGCCCAAAAAGAGGGCCTCCAGAGCATCGACCAGCTCAAGGCAGCTTACGCTGACAAAATCGATGCTGAGCGTCGAAAGAGTGGCATTGAGATTCCAGTTGGAACAATTCCTCAAGCACCCGAAACACCAGTTGTTCAACCCAATGCCGACGACCCCCCTGGACAAGACCAACCCACCAGAGACCCTCGCGATCCTCCTACCACTCCACCTCAATACCCTCCAACCGGCTCGGATAAGCCTGCTATCAAGTCTCTAAA